GTTTCGTGGAGTTTTGAACTTTTTTTTAGGTTTGCTCGGAACTGAGAGCCAATCTGACAATTCTGACTTCGGATTCGGATTCAGCGGGTCAAAATACATGGGAATACACTAGTGTAGTGTCTCGGCCAAGACACTTTTTATTAATTGTGTGCCTGTGTAATTATTATCCGCATTCCAATTTTATAATTTATTTGAAAGAACAGCAGAGAACATACAATTACATCATTTTTCAACATAGTCCCCTTACTTTTTAATGCACTTGTTCCAGCGTTCCACAAGCTTGCATATACCATTAAAAAAAATGTTTTAATTTGTCCCTTAGCCATGTATGTATACCACTTCTTGCACGTTGGTCTGTGGTAAATCGACAACCTTTTTAGGAATTTTTATGTGGACCAAACAAATGGTAATTCGACGAAGTGAAATCTGGACTATATATGTAGCGTTTGAACAGTGTAGACAACAATATTTGGATACGCATTGTCATGCAACACCAACATGTGTAAGAAGCGGTGCATACATGGCTGAGGAACCAAAACATTTTTTCCCAAGGTTATATGCAAGCTTGGGGAACGCTGGAACAAGTGCATTGAAAAGCAAGGGGACTATGTTGAAAAATGATGTAATTGTATGTTCTCTACTATTGTTCTAATAAATTATAGAAATAAAGTGCGAATAATTATTGATTCTTCCTCGTGAAATAAAACGAGATGCACAAAACTCGGAGGACGAAAGAGAGAACGAACGAGGATCGTAAGAAACAACCAATATAAATATACGAAAAATTATTATGTCAATTAGGCGTGATTCCGATTTATTATTCCCGTATAAACAGAAACGTGCTTTGGCGGTAATAGTGATGGCGCAGTAGTTATCGCTACGAGCGAAGATCAAAGCTGTTAACAACACGAGAGGCATGATAGCTAAAACATTAATAGCTATGTATAGAAAGATCGTAACCCATGCACATGCATGTACACATATACATATACATGCTTGTTTTGATTCGTCACATGACTAAAGTTCGAGATATATTCCCTGTTTATGCAGCATTTATTAATAACTACTAAATTAAGTAACACTTTCTTTCTTTAGATGTGAGATATTTCTTAGTAACAAAGTATGTGCTGTAATTATTGCATACCGTAAACATATATATGGAGGGTAAAAGCCATAGTGGTGTAAGTCAATAAATATTTTAAAAAATTTGACTTACACCATGGCACTATGGCTTTTACCCCTCCATATATTACAGACATAAGAATTCAAACAGTAAAATTCAAATCAATCAGTGTACCAATTATTAATAAATGTATTATAATTTTTATAAATCAGATTATCACGACATATATGGAATATTAATTGCTGTGGAACGCACGGAATTTTGATTTATATAACAAGATGCGAGAATTTTGATTATTTAATCTTTTCTAATAAAATCATTTACGACAATATTTATTTTTTGTAGACTGTGGAAAAATGTCTTCCATTCCGCAGGGTGCTTTCGCAGTATGGAAAGTCCGCGATAACGACGAACGCGCTGTTTCCATGTTCGCGATGGAGAAAAATGAGAAGGCTGAAGAGAAGAAAGAGAATATATTTAATTCGAGGCCTCCTCTAGAAGGTAATATATCTTATATATAATATATCTTTATTCAGTTTCACTATTTTTATAAATTCAATTTTTACTTCGGATGGAAACGCTTGATTTAACTTGAATTTACTCGGCTATTTTATTTTACCCAATTAATTAAATATGTAGGTTGGGAACTGACGCCGCTTAAGTACAATAGCAAGCTGATGAACAGCATCTGGGGCTTGTACAATCGCTATTCGGTGCACAACTTTAAGAAGAACACCGATGCCGAGGAGGGGGCCCGCGGTGGGGTGGCCGCGGCGATCTGGGGTGCCATTTTGGATAACCAGCCCCCGGCCGCCAACGCCGCCGCCGCCTCCGCCACCGCGGAAGCCCCCCAGATTATGAGGACCGGAAATCGCCTCTAAACGCGACGCGGCCACGTGACTTCAAATAACTACTCAGAGATGATAGTTGGGAATGAGAGCGAATTGTGCAGCTCATAATTATATAAAGTGGGATAATAAATGTATAAATACGCGTATTTAGAGAAAGTTACGTGTGTATAACGAAAGGCGTATTATATACTAGTGATTATACATATGCAAATTTTATGAGAGCTCTAAATGGAATTTTGACACTTACACTTTGAATTTTCGTCTCGATTACGCTATTATCAAGTTATTTCAATATTGTTGTCTGTATAACATCTTTTTATTGCAAAGTTATCTTTATTACTGTTTCGCAATAAGACAACTCAAAATCAATCGTGCTGCTATGATACATTATTGCAACAATAGAAGAAGACTTAACCCAGAGAAGAAGTATTTTTCTGTTTCGTCTAGGGATGTATTCCTTGAAATCGAATCATCTGATCAATTTATCTGGAATCGAGACATTTAAATGCCTTAAATTTATTTTTTGCAGGCAAATATTTGTATGAAAAATCGACATGTTTCTTTTTAAATAGTGTCGATAACGAAATTGTTGAAAATTGAGCTACGATTACGAAATATCGCGAAATATTCACGATATATGTAGTGACTGATAATGAATCTCATGTGATCATTTATATATTATTATAATAAAATTGATAAATGAATAAATCAAAGGTGTGTCACATATCAATTCATAATATTATACTACTATGTTGCGTTTCGATATTTACTGCCAGTACTAAAAATCTACAGTGTACGTGACGTAAACTATAGGTTTTCAATGAATATATCGAAACGCAGCCTATATATATAACTTAATGCATTAATTTTTATAGCTTTTTATCTTGAAATTATTCGATGACAAGCAAAATTTTTAATTTTACCATCGTCACTGTTGCTAATTTACGGCTACTTCGATCAAACATTGATTAATTTAATCGGTGATTTAACCGGGACAGAATTGTTTACAATAAATTTTTTAACTGTATTGTTTTGTCATTAAGCGCAATTGAAAAAAAATTAATAAATTCTGTCCACTTATGTTAACAAAATTATAAATATTACTTTATAAGTTAATCGCTGATTAACTTAATTAACAGCAAAACTGTTTAAAATAAAATTTAATATTTTTAAGTAATTTAATATTTTTGTGTGTGTGTGTGTGTGTGTGTCAAACAATAAAAACAATTAAATAGTTTTATCCATGTTAGAGAGCAAAATACTACAGGTATATTATTAATTGTTAATCAAAGTTTGATCGAAATCACCCAAAGTCACCCTCTGATATTATCTGTTGGTAATCGCGCAGCCGGCGCAGCAAACTTCACGACGCTCCGTGCGACCGGTGCGACACGATGGGCGCGGAAATCGATCTTTCGATTTGTAAAAAGGTTCGATCGGCACGAGCCATCGAGGACGCGTTTTATCGCGTATGTTTACTAATATAACGGGTGGCGTCTAATCAATAAAAGGGAAAAAGGAGGAAAGAAATGGCTCTCTACGACAATCAACATTGGCTTCTGTCGCACATCAGGGACAGCTTTCTCGCGACAGACGACACAGGTTTGTACTTGTGACGAATCTAGGTTAGAAACGTCAATGGATTAATCGCGAGGCGTTGCACCAATCTGGAAATATCCTGATAATAAGGTATTTCCGATAACACGCTTATTGCAAGATGAATTGGATTAAAATTAATCGTTTATATGTCAATGTAACTCAGTAATAAATGAGCTAAATGTGTCAATATATAGTGTTCCATGTATAGTATTATGCTCTTTAATATAGACTATGTGGAGCATAATAAACATAATAAATGAACTATAAACTATAATATAGAGTCTATATTATAGTTTATTTAGAATTGTAATTATTTTGTGCTAAATACTTCGTATTACTCTCGATTGAAAGGTATGTGCGATATGGTGATATTGGGGGAGAATATTCCTAAACAGTTGAAGAAAAATGGAACGCTGCAATGTTATCCTGGAATGGAAGAAAGTGACGATGAGGATCTGGACGAAATGGGAGAATCATATGACATACAAATGGGTATATACTTTGCTTTCTATTATTTTGCACAAAAATACTTGTGTGTCATATAAAACTCAAGTCAAAATTGATTCAGTTCGAGATCGTCGGGCAAAATAATTTTGATAGCATATAAATTTTCTTATAACTAGAACTAAATTGGAGCACGATCCAAATTATTTCCAATTAAATTCCTTAATTATGACGCCCTCTTGTTCGCAACATTGTTCTAGAAATGGAATTCAGTCACAGACAGAGATCTAACACTGCACAAAGACTAGAGAAAATGGACATAGAAAGGAAAAAAGCTGCCAAAGTCAAGCATGTCAAATGGGAGCACAATCCTAATGCCGTGACGCCAACAGATCAGTCAGATCTGTTTCAAAGGAAAGATTTTCGTAGGAAAACGCCAGTGAAAAAAGGACAATCTCTTTTGTCGGAACAACTCGAAAAGTGTCCAAATTTACCACCAAATCCATTCAAGGAATATGCCAAATTTGATGGCAACGTATGTAATACTGATTTATCGTTTCCCTCAAATGAGCTCCAATTCCAAAAGATCTTAATAAATGAAAATAATATATGTTACAAGATTTCTCATAGCAAAAAATAGAGGTTGTGCATTATAAATTTTACAGCTTTGTGATCTTCATAAGAAACATAGATTTGCTATATATTTAAAAATTTCTTTTGCAGGCGCAGGTGAGCATCCCTGTGAGAAGATATAGAATATTCATGTGTATGCTGCCGAGAGAGGACAGAATGTATCCACTTCAGGTGGTGGTAACAGTAACAGCGCGAGTATTGGACTTCATCGGGTTGATTTGCTACAAATATGCAAGTGAACGTCCCGATCATAATTTAAAGTCTGTATCAAGTTAAGTCCCGTTGCCAGAACCCATTGCGTATGCTTTATTTACCAAGTCTCGTCGGCCGTTAACAGGGAAAACATTTCACATTATGGACTGTACATCACCGAGGATGACGGTGAGATAGATTCGGCCTTTCCTTGTTTGGACCCGTACGAAACTATCTCCAAATTCGAATTCACTACGCTGGGCCTGATCGAGATGAAGCCGAGCGATAAAGCACGACACAACACAATCAGTTGCATTCAGGCGAAAAATGAGGAGGACCCGGAGATTAAAAGTAAGGAGCAGGAGGAAGTTGCAAACGACCTGGCTAAGATGGAGGGTCACACTACTGCGATGGAGGCGCCGTTGTATCAATCGTACAGGTAGTTCAATATTTTACATCAAACATCGCTTTTTATAAAGTATTTCAATTGTTAGAATAGCTACATTGAAATAACAAGTGATTGGTAAATAATTTAAATAAAATTATGGAAAATAATGAATAATTATACTGTTGAAAATTTAAAGGGCAGTATAGTATTGAGAATCAAGTTGTAAAAACAGTAAAAGAATGGTACAAAGTAATTGTTGAGGTGTGTTGCATGAGAATATACACATCTCCAATTGCAGGGTATATATAATTAACAAGATGCGAGCAAAGACTGAAATTCATCTCGGAATATCGGGCGAGAAGATAGAGATAGATCCAGTGATAACAGGCAAAGGCGCTGCTAGGTTTTGGAATAGACAGCGAGCAGTCAGTTATCACATAGACAGCATCGCCTGGTGCGAAGTGACCGAGACTAAGGGGTCGAAAACTATATTTACGCTGGTTTATACCCCGCAATCCAGTGCTCCAGATAATTTTCTGAGTCAGTTATTTTCTTTTTACATAATTACATATTGCATGATAATTTTATTTCTTTCGATAAAAAAAAAAGATTTTAAGCAAAGTCATTATTTTTCGCATTTCAATTTTGAAAAGCTTTACAATGAAGATTTACGTTGTATAGACGATATTTTAATGTTACTGATGGTTGTAGGCCAAAGTCATTCACTTCACCAATCAGCATCGTTCAAAAATCACGATTTTGAAGCGGATTCGGTGACGGCCGAGGAGATTGTACGGAAAATCAATCACATATTGGAGCTGCACAGCAGCCAGTCAAGAAAGGAATATCTCGCGCAGAAGGAGAGGAAAGCAGCGAGGAGAAAGAGCTTTCATCTACATAGATGACAGCTCTATTGGTTATTCTGTACAATCTTAGATTATTTGAAGCATTGAATATTAATATACCACAGAACGTGATCGTAAGAGTCGTTCTAACATCAGAAATATCTTTATACGATCGAATCAATATCTCGAATCTCCTTGACGTGCCAGAAATGGCGTAAAATAGACGGTCTTCTCTAGAAACTAGACGTATTCCATAGATATAAAGTTTAATGTTGTGTAATACCGGTAAATTATTTTTTGAGTATTTATTACATCTCATCTCAATCTCATTGATGTGAATGCGCCACAAATACGGTCGTCACACACCAATAAGTATCGTATAATCAATCGCGTGTTGTCGTACGCAGTGTTGTCATATTTAATTAATTTAAGTGTTATTTATACTTTTACTATTGATGCTCCTACCTGTAAGTTTGTAGAATTGAAACAATAAACGATACCTAAAGCTACGTCTGCTTCATTGCTCTGAGATCTTGATAACATTTCCAGTGGCCTTGGATATATTGCTCTCCATTCTCTCCATGAATCTCCGGTTCAACCTGTGTACATGTTGACTGAGCGTAGACATCTTCAACGCCACGTCCAATAATTTCTGACTATTTTTGCAGATGTGTTCGTAATTGGGACGCGACAAGACGAAAGTTCTCTCGGCTGCTGTCAGTACATTTATATCGAGAATCTGCCCCTGTCCCTCCGCGCTTGCTTTCTGCTTGGTTAAGTTTTTCCGTTGAGCTTTGCGACTCTTGTACTCCTGTTGCCAATCCTTTCGCTCTTGCCTGAGCTTCTCTATATATTCCTTCAGATTAAAAGTTTCGACATCGTCCTTCGCATTGCACTCTTCTTCATCTTCGTTTGGGTCTGCCGTAAGTCTGCTTCCATTAATTGTAACATCATTGACGCCTGGAAGATGTTACTTATTGTTAGTTACAGTTATTAGAGTAATTGGTCTGGGGAGCTCAGCAGATTCGTTGTATACAAGTTAACATTTTCAGAATAAAATTGTTCGTAAGAAATAACTACATTTATGAAAGCAGTGCTATTAATTGAGACAGGTATATTCTGATTTCCAATTATTATGTCTTTAAATTCGGTGACGGTGTTTCGACACAAAAGTCTCTTGCGATCGCAACATGTCACTTCGCAGGGTGAACTAACCTTCATTGTGGTCGCGCGTCACAGTACGTGTTTGGAAAACCGACGATCTCCGTTTACGGACGGTCCTCTCGGATTTAAATTCCTCGTGGAAATTCGACGCATTAGCTGTAGCCATTATCGAGCGATTTGTTGCACCGAAGTGTCATTTCTCGTCAATGCTTTTATGCTATAGTCGCCGCGCATACAACATGGCGGAGCAATTTTCAAACATTTCAAACGAACGCTCGCATGGGAGCATATGACGCGTTGCAACCAATCAGAAAGACTTGGAGAATCAGCTGATTTCATTCATGAATCACGTATGATGTTGATGCACATCCTAATGTAAAATACGTTACATGTGTAATTATTACATATTTTATATAATAATATGATATTTAATACATAGATATAAATATTAATAATGTAACATAATATATATATTTGTATTACTATATACTTTTTATAATAAATATAATAATATATATTTTACATCAATTTTTTACTACGTAAAATATAAAATAATTATTACATGTATTATGATAGCATAATTATAGAATATGTTATCCGTTGATGGGTTATCGTTGACGGTAAATCGTGTGTCCGTGTAATAGATTTTTGTTCCAAAAAATGAGCCCCGAGTCTTGTGTACCTATATCAAATTAATCACCGAGTGAAATATTAACGTTTTATAACAGTTATCAAATATATTTTATTTATATATTTTATTCGACATAGCGTAGATGATCGATTAGTATCACGGTTTCATCCGATAATGCATAATTTTATTTTATTTAACGGTAATGTGGTGCTTATAGTATCGAGGAAAAGGATATAAGCAAATTTATATAGAATACTATAAATGAAAATTAACGTTAAATTCTATCGTTTGTAAACATTTCTTTCGCGATCGTTCTCGCAGCGCGGTGATTTTAAAATAAAAATAAGATACTTGAAAATTATAAAACATTCTCTGTTGCTTATTCCCGAAATATTAATCGTTTTGCTTACAAAATTTTCCATAAACGAGCCTATTGCCTCGCGTTCAGATTTTTAAATTGACAGGGAGATACATATCTTTAATTATTTGAAACAAATAAAGTGAAATAAAGTGAAAGAAGAGAAAAAGAGAGAGAGGGAGAGAGGGCTATTAGATATCTAACATATAAATGTATAAAATAAGTTAATATTTATCGATACATGTAAGATATAAATATTAAACTGATTCTCAACCAATTACAATCTAGAATTCTCGATAAGTAACGAATAGACCGCCATTGTAAAACTCTCGATGCTGATTGGTTGATCACGCTTCTCGGTGCGTGCATTGTCTTTAGCCTCTGTATGATGTTATTTATTAAAATCACGTCCATCCAATGAAACGATCGTAGAGATCGTTGGAGGGACGATCTTAAATTAACAAAATTCAATTATAAATAATTTTAATTCTCGGAAAGAGGCAAAGAAATTAAGGATTTTGTCGCTGCTTGTGTTCAATCAATTGTGTGGCCCGCGTTTAGTTTGCCTACTTCCGGAGCAGTCCAGCCAGACGGCGCTGAGTACCGCCCCCCCCCCCTCTGTTTTCCTGGAGGGGAGTTTGTACCCTCTCGCTGCCAAAAAGGGGCAGCGCGTGAAGAGAGTGATGCGAAAATTGTCAAATATCGGGCGCATGACGGCGGTGTGGCGAGCCCGGTGAGAGAGCCCTGGCGTTGGTGGTGTGTGGCGTACGTAAAAAAAAAACAAACCGGGACAAACATAAATAAAAAAAAAGGGAGGAGAAACCAAAACAAACACGTAGCCGCGTTAGCAGCGCCGAGGAGTCGTGGCCGTGGCACGGGGGCGCGATGTCGAGCACCCTGGAGAAGAAGATCATGAATCTGGAGGAGCGGCTGCGGGCGGAGAACGAGTCGCGGGACCGGGACAGGCAGGTCGGCGCCGAGGTCGGCGGCCCGGGCATGGGCCTGCACTCCTCATCGTCGTCGTCGTCGTCGTCGGCGACCGTGGGCCCCGCGTCCAGCCCCGCGCTCCGCAGACCCCGGCAACGTAAGCAGCCCGCTCTAATGCGCGCAAAGATCCCCGCGAGTCCATCCTAGATCCTACCCTCATCCCGGATCGATGCGATCCACCCCGGCCGGCCGATGCGTTGTCGCGTTCGCGCGCGTGTACAGGTTATGTTGACCGTCGCGCCGTCGATTGATCCCCAACACTGTTGATCTCGCGATTTAAAGACCCGCGGAAGCGATTCGGCAGGATCTCGCTTCTTCGTCCGCCTCCTTTTTATCGCCTATCGTTTGATTACGTCGAGCGTGGTTCGCTCGCTGTTTGATTTACTCATTTTTTGTTGAACCACTTTTAGATCCGTATACCATAAACCGTTTATTATTGTAATTGAATTCTGATACTGAATCAAAAAATTCAGAGATTACTGGTAAGTGGCGCAGGATATAACATTATTATAGCTCGACGTTAAATATATAATAATATATAAGATTAATAGCTGAATTTTAAATTTAGAAACTATTCAATAATATATGAATTTATTAGCTGAATCTATAAGTTTGATGTTAAATTTTTGAAGAAATAACTGAAATATCACTTTTCAACATTGATATTAAGATTACTTCAGGTTATTAAAGTTAATGTAGAGTTATTTATAATATAATGCTGAATTATAAGGAAGTTTATGTTTGATTATAAAGAAATAAATATATGATGGAAATAACAGAGTAATGTATTGAAATGTATTACACATTTCTTTACAGTTGGGGATATGGGTACGCCGACACGACCCAGAAGACAGCTAGATCTGCCAGTGTCGCAGATAACGCCGCCAAAGATGCACGACAGTGAAGTCGAGTTAAAGCTGCAGGAAATCATGAAGATGAACGGCATCCTGAACATCAATGGTCAAAGGTATCAGACAGAGATGAAAGATCTGGAGCATCTAGGCGAACTCGGTAACGGCACTTGTGGACACGTTGTCAAAATGAGGCATAAACCGAGCGGCGTGGTAATCGCTGTGAAACAGATGCGACGCTCTGGGAATGCGGAGGAGAATAAGAGGATAATTATGGATCTCGACGTTGTGCTCAAGTCGCACGACTGTCCGTACATTGTGCAGTGCCTGGGTTGTTTCATAACCGAATCCGATGTTTGGATTTGCATGGAACTGATGGCGACGTGCCTAGATAAACTATTGAAGCGTAGCAGGCAAGCGATACCGGAGGATTTTTTAGGAAAAGTTACAGTAGCAGTAAGTTTCTTTATGCTTTCGTTTATTAAGTGTTTTGTCGCAAAATTTCCAAAATTTTTATATTTAAAAGTCTTGGAAAAATTATAGTAAAAGAGAAGATATACATTTGAAAAGAAGATAATTTTACTGTATTATTATTTTCAAAGTCAAGATATCATTCTGTGATTTTTTTTTCCCTTAAAAATTTGAAATGCAATATTTTGGAACGTTTTTATGATAATTTTGAAACTATTGTGGAAAGACGAATTTACATTATACATTCTTTTTCTTTAGACAGTAAAAGCGTTGTCGTACCTGAAAGAGAAGCATGGTGTAATTCATAGAGATGTGAAACCTAGTAATATATTACTGGACGAGACGGGAGGGGTGAAACTCTGTGATTTCGGAATTTCTGGCAGATTGGTCGACAGCAAAGCGAAGACGAGAAGCGCGGGATGCGCGGCGTACATGGCTGTGAGTAAGATGTGTATCACAATGTAGAAGAATGTTCAAATTTCTTAAATAATGGAATAACTTATTGTTTCGTTCTTTGTGCAGCCTGAAAGGATAGATCCACCAGATCCTACTAAGCCAGATTATGATATAAGGGCGGATGTATGGAGTTTGGGCATTACTCTAGTGGAACTAGCTACGGGAGTATTTCCTTATCGAGACTGCAAGACTGATTTTGAGGTAAAATTTTCATTGGAAATTTATTTCAGTTTCTTTGTTATCTTCGTGTGGACGTAGTTGTACAGAAAGAAATTAATTTTTAGATTTTTTTATTATAAGATGTGTAGTACTTATGTATTGAAATAAACTGCATATTAGAAAGCAATTCTTTTGCTTTCAGCTTTTGCTTTATCAGTGTGGAAAAATAAAGTAAATTTATTTTTAATATAGCTGTATCTTTTGAAAAAACTATTTTGGAGTGGCTTGATTTCTTTATATATAACCACATCTATCTACTTATATTGTTTCTATACTTCTTTTATTCTACTCACATTACAGGTACTGAGCAGAGTAGTACAAGATGATCCTCCGTCTCTTCCGGCGGATGCGCTCTTCTCCAAGGAGTTTAGGAGTTTCGTCAGCTGCTGCCTCACGAAGAACTACAAGCACCGGCCAAAGTACCACAAGCTCATGGAACATGCCTTTATTCGCAAGTACGAAGTTTTACAGGACGGCGAGACAAATTTCGCCCTGACAAACTCCGGCTGTCAATGGTTCGGCAAGATCATACGGCAGTTAGAACCAAGGTGGGAACCAAGGTCTGATTGCTGTTCGTTGTACGCTTTTTTTAGATTAGACGTAATATTTAGGATGTTTAATATTGTGATAGGAAAGACAGGATAATGATATAATCATTAAAAACGCTAGCGTGATAGCGAGATCGCGAACTTTTAAACATGGCATGAGATTTCTGACTAATAAAGATACTGATCTCTGGTTTGGTTATCTGTATATTTTTTTTATCTTTTGGCAATAACCAGGTTTAATCGCGTTTTACGAGCGATTTTTATAAAGACTTCATAAAGACTTTATGCACTTAACATATTCACAATCAGTGAGTTTTGGACCGAAGCGTTTTGCGAATTGGACTGTCGTTGGATGTTAACGATTGTACGAGGTGTCTTGGAATTATGGCGTCTTTAACTTTTAGCCAGCCGATTCTCTCTCGTTGATTGCTTGTTGACTTTTGGAACTAAAGAATGATCAATTTGAGAATTTGTCGAAAAAATTACGGCCGAAAGAAAGACGCGACATACTCCTGGAACATCCGGTATATATTTATCTCTAATACCGCTTTGAAAAAAAAAAAAAAAAAATTGACATTTATAGTTCCTTCTTTCGAATTAAAAGTTTGCGTGCGTGTTGAATTGTGTTGCAGCGTTGAGCTTGAGGGAGGCAGCGCGGCGTAGCATTCTCCCTCTCCCTTATTCCTTTCTCCTTTCCTACTTCCGCTCCTTCCCGGACAAACTGCCTAAAAATCCCCGAAAGAAAACTTTTAAAAAAGTGAAAAAAAGAAAAGATAGACTACTCCCCGCTACTCAGAGTATCCAAAAATCTGCCCAATTTTCATTTCGAGTTGTTTGGTTTGTGCACGCGCCTGTTACACACCCCACCTTTCAACCCCTACTCACGGTAAGCATTGTTTTTTTATTTATTTCAATATATTTTCGTTTCTTTCTTTTCGCCTACTTTTGTTGCGTTTAGCGTAGCGACTCGCCCACTCCGTCGCAATGCACGCATAATTTTTCCCTGTGCACATGCCATTTTTCTTTTCTTTTTTTGCAGACTGATTTCGTGAAATAAATTTTTGAATCTGCTATTGCAGATCGGGGACGAAATTGATGCAGCGAAATTAATGTAAGCGTGATAAAGAGGATTATGGATCGTGTAGATATTCTAATCATGGAAATTTTAATTGTATTGTTTATTTTCTTTCTTAATTTTGTCAACAAATTTTTTATACATCCTAGGATTTCTCGTCATTTTTATGCAAAGTTTTCGCCGTGAGCAGCTCGTTCCATGACTTACACGACAATGCGAAAGATCTTGATTTCGCAGCATAATCCTCCAGAAGTTACCGGCACGGTTTAGAGATCTAATATATCTCTCTTAAAAGAAAACTTCTTCTGTCCTCATCTGCATTTTGCATGCTATAACAATTAACGATTAACGTTCTGCTCTAACTTTCATTAACTCTTCTAGACTGAGGTTTTTTGCAGAGTCATCACGATACGATTATGGGATGTTAATGGTACAGACATATATGTATATCGAGTCAGATCGCATTTTCATGTTGAAGGGAAATCACCGTATTTATAAATTTATCCTTGATAAAATTTCATTTGGATGGCAATTTAGTTCCAGATTGCCAGGAGGTCAGCAGCAGCGAGTTTCGGGTCATGTGTCTCTGAAGCAGACAGCCCATCTTCGGGCGCAATCCGAGATGCCAGCCTTCCTGAAAAGCAACGTCAATAGCATGAAAGAGTCACCGAATTCCGGCTTTCTGCCGTTCCATCAGCGTTCCAATAGCGAGAACGGCGCGAACTACGTGCCCTATAGTCCGTACGCTCTTCGTCGGAAGGAGATCGCTCGACCGTTCTCGCCGCCGATGTCCAAGGACGCGGATCAGTCGGAGCCGAACCTGCCACCGCGACCTTTCTCACCCTACCGGCAGCAGAGCATGGTCACGAGGCACGATTACAATTCTTCGAATCGCTGCTCGACAACGAACGGTCAAGGTAGACAGGAGACGACGACAACTACCACGACGACGACAACGGCGGCGAGACCGTTCTCTCCTTACAGGACTCAGGACACCAGCTTGGACAGCAATGGTCGGCCGTATTCCCCGTATCGCAGTAGCCGTTACGAGGAACACGACGGTGGCAACAAGGCGGACCGATGGCAGGGAGGCGTCTCGAGATCGCTGAGTCCCTTCACCAGAGATTATTCGCCTTGGCGACGTGAGAATGTCGATCCACCCGTCATTCAGCCGCCACCTGCCACGTATGACAACAGCGGCCGTTACTCACCGTTTCTACAGCATAGACTTGCGCAACCACCGTCGCAGCAGCCCGCGACACTCCAAACCTATCCGCAGACGCAGAACATCTACGGTAGCCCAATGATCAGCCGCAAGAGGTAATTGAAAGACTTAAATTGGTTCACCTGTATTAAAATGCATTGTTATTTAGAACTTATTAAAACTTACCAAAGTATAATGTGTAAGCTACTTTACAATTTTTATTTCTTTCATTTACAAAAATATTTGTTGATTGACTGTATATATAAATTAAATACTCTATACTTAATCTTACATCCTTCGTTCATTCTTTTATCTGTTTATTTAATTTTAGTCTAACCAATTGTATTCTTTATTATCATTTAATGTAAAAGTTCATCTTTTAATCACCTTTATTTAATTTATTTTATAATTTAGTAGATATGCATAGGTTACCGCATTTAACAAATAATACTACATATGTTTACTTTCTGTATCACAATTCACAAAGAATTTTGTCATTTTGTATCAGGTTTCCTTCGGAGCCACCGCCGCAGGGATCCCACGGCCCCTCTAGTCCACAGTTATTAATCTCCCGTTTCGCGCATCAACTGAAACAGGAGTCACCGCCGTCGTCGTTGGTGATGCCACCGCAGCAGATCGTTGGCTCGAAGGAGTCCGCGAAGAAACGCTTCGCGTCCTACGTACGCCTCAGGCTCGGCAGTGAGCGCGCTCCTTCGCCAGAACCACCGCCGAGATTGAGTCGCGGCGAGTCTCCGCTTGCCCTCAGGAGGAACTTAATCGAGCAGGCGTCTCCCTCCTTTCCACGAAGGTGTGCATCTTCCAAGGAAATAATTCCTTATATAATTATGAATTACATAGTCATCAATTATATAATCATTGATCGTTCTTTAATGACACCAAAAGAGAATGTGTAATATGACAGATGATTTGGGCTTCTTCTAGGTACGTCTCGCCTTCTCCACCCCAGCCGCCGCCTAGGAGATTGTCGGAAAGCAGTTCCGTGCCTGGTAGCCCGCAACACGTGCGAGCTCGTCTACGCTATACGCCTGAACCTCAGAGAAGACCTCCGCCACCATAACCCACCGCTACAATCATTAAGCCTTATTATTATTCCTTATTGGTGCCATATGTGACTACGGACACCCGGATGGCGATCACGTGCACCATGGAGTAGTGAGGTGCATCGTTATCCGGTAACGGTTGCGCGCACAGAGCGAGTCACGGAACGTGTAGACGTATATACACGACGTGTTCTCGAACGTTTATAAACCAAATGAAAAACATGAAGAGAAAACGGAGAAGCGTGTTCTTAATACTCGAGCCGTCGCGAACTCGAAGTTGTACGCGAGTCGAAGACTTAGTACGGGAACGTCGATTTAGCGTGCGAAACGGCTGAAATCGCCGGAAATAATATTTCATCTTGATTTGACATTTTCACGCATTTAGATTCGCGGACACTTCGAACGCGAGAATTGCCTTAAGAGACACGAGGACTTATACTAGCGAGTGTGAATATTTCAGATCTCTGAAAGATTTCTGAGTACTTCAGGTTTCTGATCGAAGAATATTTTCGGAATTCCTTATTGATGTTAGGACATAGGGAAGAGTGAAACGTCTTTTTCGAGTTTAGAACGCTTCACACGCTAAAGTCGTAAATGTAAACTTCTGCACGGTCGAGTAGCTTAGCTAAATCGCGCCGACCGCCTCGGTTTGATTGATCCTGGCGCGCGAATGCTTGGAATGAATTATTTTCTACAAGATACCGTAGGAAGGAGAGTAAATAATTGCATAGATAAATCCTCAAAAGAACGATTAAATAGTTTCGGTACAAATTCTCGCCGAGCACTTTGCCTTGTGACTGTTCTAAGTGGAAGGAAATAATCGATTAAAACTAGAATTAATGTTGTAAAATCGAGAATGCGATCGGCACCCCAAGGCCCGCGTGCATGCGTTTTACGTACGCGAGGGGGTTGTTCGCGCGACGTTTGCACGGCTTTTCTTCGCCGCGAGATGCGAATTGATCTACCTTCGTCAATAATTCTCTTCTCGATGTGTATTTATCGATAGTACGCGATGAGAATATCGATGCTCAACTTTTTATATCGTTTGCGTATTAAAAAAAAAGGTACAGTGACGGAGGAATGCGGCATTAATCGCGACGCACCGCGATGTTTTTTCTAATCAGCCTCGACAACACAATACATACATATTTATGTATATTATATATGTAAGTGTATATATACATATATACATGTATATGTATATATATACACGCTCGTAAAAGAATGTACCTTACGAAACAATATACTTGGCGCGAGACGCTACCGCGTCTCTCGATACATACGCAAAAGAAGTATATATGGTATCGTGAAAAAATGCGTAAACCGTTCCTATCGCTCTTCGTTTACGCTTCTTTCTGTCAATCTTGAGAACTTTGTCAAAGGAAGGAGAGACACACAATAAACGCGCAACGAAACTCGCTCTCTTCTCTCGGACGGCCTTGCGGTACCTCTGCGACTCGAATTGCAGTCTCACAGTGACATCTTTTCCACGATTTACTATTAATATTAATGACTTTATTATTGAAGCAACTTAAAGTTAAATACGAGAGCGAGTCGTAAGTTTACGAGTGCGTAATCCAATATCGATAGTCCAACCGAGAGGGATATTATCGTCTACACTTTTCTTTGCGACAAGAAAAGGGGAGGAAAAATAAGAAAAACGGAAGCACAATAATGTCGCGGTAGCACGTCTCGTATAGTCCTACGGGGGGCAAATGTATATTACTCAATCAGCAGGGCGTGCACGGCGTCACTCACATACACCAAACACACAGTACACATACACACGGTTTTAGAATGTTGTAATTATTATTTTTAATTAACATTTAATCCCTAACTACGTTCAAGTCTACACTCGTAATCACCTTTGTCGTTTATTTGACAAAAGGATCTGTTGCAATGTAAATAAACTTATATTTATACGAGTTATCGCGCATCTCTTTTCCCATTTCCTCCTTCGCCATTCCATCCTTCGAATTCTCGCTTCAAAAGTATGTCGCTACTATTTTTGGGTCGTGCTTTTGTCATTTTCAATTGAATTGGTGCGTTCTACTATACTCGTCGTTCGTCGTTCGGAATAACAAAAGAATTGCGCAAGTCATTCGTGCAGCCGTCTTCACTGATTACGATGAAACGTATAATAGTATAAAAATGCAATCTCTCTGACCTTTCGGCGTTTTCATTTTTATTCAATCGATTGGAAAATATCGAATAATATTGAAAGAAACATATACTCCGTCTTAATTTAGTTTGATAGACCACGTTACTTCGCTGCTGCGCAAATAACTAATTATAATATATGTATACCAGATAGTATAATAACTACATAATATGGAAGAGATAAGAATTTCATCGTGACATGGTTTAATTCTTATTCAAAGGATATATCGATTAAATCTCGAGGAAAACTTGCGTCCTTTCGAGGTTAATTTTTTTTGCAGCACATGATTTATTATCGTGTACGTTTTCGTACGCGTCCTAAAATCGATATTTGCAATTGAAAAATATTAAACCTTTTTTGTGTGCATTGGAGAAAAAAATATATTTCTCCTAAATTAAATTTAACAATACATATTATTATCGTTGTTACGCTCTCTCTGATTACCGGACACACATAGATAAGAATTCACCGTGACATACTTTTAATTCTTATCAACAAAATAAATTCCTTCCTTTTTTTTAAAGAAGAATAAAGATGAATGCAAAAGAGTATATATTAGCGAGACAAATTCAGAAATATTTATATCCCGATCCTGCGTTGAAAAAATTAGGTATTCCTATAACTTTATGAAACAAATCTCTCTGTCTTGGTTTTATTTTTTACGGAATTATAATATATAACAACATGACCTAGTTTAGTCTGTAAGTATTAGGTTGGCCAATAAGTCTGTGCGGTTTTTTACTTATAAATGTTACTTATAAATAACCGCACGGACTTTATTGGCCAACCCAATATGATATTACCCAGACAAAAACGTCTCTTAGACGTTTTTTAGAACCTATCTTTTCGTTAGACGTCTTATGTCCTCGCTTTTGGACATGTGTGCTGTCTGACGGGTATCTAATAATATATAACATAACACGATACATATAATTTATTTATCATAATTTGTAATTATAATAATACTATATATAGTATACAGGTATATTATATATATACCGGACTATATATATAGTCCGAGCGATTTCTGAATCAAATTTCCTGTCTGTAGGTCATTTAATCTAGCATTATTTTACGGTTCAGTATTACGCAACCTTTGGCCTTTAATTTCCCGATACAAGCCCATTATTTACGGGAAAGAAGAGGTCCTGCTCGGGAGAGATGCTACACATAAGATGCTTTCCATTTACATCAAAACTCAGATAATTCTCATTCTTGTGACGTCATTCTGTCTTTGTTATTCATTAATTGCCAAAAAGGATAGGACGACGTCACAAGTGAGAATTATCTTATTTTGATGTAAATGGAAAGTACCTATATATATTATTTCCTTCCTCCTTCGGTCTACATGTCAACATTGTCTACAATATGAACGGCATTCCCACGCCGTCAGCGCCGGCGTGTTCAGTTCGGAGCGTATATTTTTATCATATCATGCCACGTAATCTCTAAGCAAGTTCTTTTTTCACTGACGGCTCATGCGCATTGAACGCTAATGGATATTTTCCAGCTTTACGCCCCGCTATGTTAAGATCGCGCTAATTTGCATTCTCTTACACGAGAGAGCCGATCGAACTTCGCGTCGGCCGTTCCACGGCCGAACTTTGTAACGTGTCACGTTACACACCGTTATGTGCATGACGACTTATCGTGCGCGGGTATATTCCTCGGAAAAAAAGTCGCGTCGCTCGACTATTAATAGATATAAACATATAACGTTGAGATTACAAAAATAAAGAGGAGAAACAAAGGTGCGAAATAAGTCTTCGAGTCCGAGATTGACATTTTGATACGTAAATATTTCCATGTACAGTCGCGGAGCTAAATAAAATTCTCTCGATCTCGAGAGAACGAAAGAGATAATTAAGGATCCTGAATCTCCCAAAAATATTACACATACACGTGGCTCATTCGTCTTTCGCGAAATAAAGAAAGATTGCTAATTCACGCTCGGAATAATTCAACGTGCGCGACAATTTTATTTACGAGTATAAAGTTCGCTTCAACAAAAGACAGAGTTGTTCAACAACTCGTCGTCCATTTTTGGACCGGATCGTATATTGACTTATGACGCAAAGATAGAGAGAGGGAAGAATTCATTCCGCCCGAGTCGACTGCGAACGTATAACGTTGTACTTGACGTATACGTGTGATGGTTACCTAATACTTTAACACGCGTGAACTTTAGGCGTTTTTTGTTCAAAATTGTACGTTATGTACGCGTGTTTCCCATAAATGCCCTAAGCAGTAAATAAGGCCGCGTGTAATACACACACACGCAGTAATGTAATAGATATCCAGACAGCACCATGCATGTCTAAAATCGGGACATAAGACGTCTCAAAAAAGTCATTAAGACATCTTTTTGATATTTTATCGTAAGACAATCTTTAAGACGGCGTCTTATGTCCCTGTATTTTTTACATGCGTGCTGAGCTGGGCTGGGTATCTATTATTTGACTCAGGCTATCTTCAGGTGGGATGGCATTTATGACGCCACGTGTACTAGATGGACTTCGTCTGACGAAGTGATCTACATGGGAATCGCTAATATAAATGGTTCTCTCTTCCTCTCCCCCTCCTTCCCTTCTTCTTCATGACCATTATTCTCGAGGACCACTCCTCTTCTCGATAGATGGAGAAACCATATAAATCAAGCATGAATTAAATGTTGAAGGTTAATTTGACCTGACGCCGCGCGACAGCGGGCTGTAGGATCGCGGAGAGACAACAATCGTCGTCGTCGTCCCTGAACAATCAATATGGCTTCCAGTCAGCTCTGTGAGCGCGCCAGCCGCCAGCGTAAGTGCGGCCATCTTCCCCCCTCTCACTCTCTCTCTCTCTCTTTCCCTCTTCCGTTCCTTCGCGGGAAACTTTTAGCGCGGCTGGCTCGGGCCGCTTCGCGCCGCTTCGGGATCGTCGATCCGATTAGACATTAGTTGAGCGGCCTCGGGTCGGGAATCTTCTTCAACTCGCCGCGACTGAGCCGAGAGCAGCTCGGAGTTCGGAGTGGCTCGGAGTAGTCGGAGCAGCTCGAGGTAGTCGATGGGAGCAACAAGACACGCGTGCGTGCGGTACGCCTTTTATTCTGCGGCACGGACAGTGAGTAAAGGAGAGAGAAAGAGAGAGAGAGAGGAAGAAAGAGAGAAAGAGGGGCGGAGGGAAGTGTTGAGTGGCGTCCTGGCGTCCCGCCATCGGTGGCGAAGGAGGATCGCGTCGTCGATAAGCGTCGCCGATAAGCGCGTCGGGGTGAGATTGATCGTCGCGCCGGAAAGCGGCGCGTTAGCGTCCGGCAGGTAGATAGGACGAAGGGCGGAAGAGAACTGGAAAAGAGAAACACAGTTCTCCGCGCGAAAGACGGAAGGAATTGGAAAAAGAGAGAGAGAGAGAAATAAGCAGGATAATTCGAAGGATAAGCGAGAAAGGAGCATGCACCGGTAATCGGAGAAACAGGGGCGGCAGCATGAGGTACGTTTCCGGAGATGCGCGTCGTCGCTCGTCGCAGCAGACTCGGTAGCTATAGCCGCGCGCACCACCAGGCATGGCCGACGTAGCGTCGCCGGAAGGCGACAACGGGCTCGTCGCCGCGACGCCCGAAGGGTGTCGAGCGCCACTGATGACGGAGACCGGCGGCGCCAACGGCGGGACGGGGGACATGGCCGCCGCCGCCGCCGACAACGGAGTTGTCGACGACAAGGTCAGTATTCATGAGATCCTCGAGGGGATGACGAACGAGTTTAACAAGAATGTGAGCCCGACGAAGAATGAAATTGAAAAAATGGAATTGGAAGAGAAGGTGATGTCGCTGTTGCCGTCGAGGATCGTCGACGAGGTGTCCAAGAGGGAAAGGGAGTCCGACGAGATCAGCGAGGAAGCTGTTGAAGATCCAGAGGATGTAGTTACCTTACAGGCTCCGGAAGTGAATCACAAGGATGAGGAGGAGAGTTCGCCGGGCAAGCAGGAGGCTGTCAAGAAGGACAACAACATACCCAGGATCGTCTTGACGTTCAGGACCATCGACGAGAATACGGATCACGGCAAGAAGACCAAGATATCCAGTTGTTCCTCTAATCTCACTTTAGTTCCTGACGAGTTGGCCAACTGTGATCAAATTGGCGGCGTCTCGGTAAAGATAGAGACCTCCGATGAGAATTCCGACGTAGTGGAAGAGTCCCAAGCTGAGGAGTCTCAAGCAGAGGAATCCCAAGCCGAGGAGTCCCAGACAGAGGAGTCGAAAGTTAAGGAATCTCAATCAGAGAAGTCTCAAGCAGAGGAGACAAAGAAGAAGGAATCTACAAAGGTGACAGAATCGAAAGTCGTGGATGAGAATAAAATAGAAACTGCAGAAGAGAGACAAAATAGTGATGCTCAACTTCCTATCCAGAAGAAGTCTGAAATCACGGAGAATAATGCTGAAAACAGCAACGCCAAGACAACACTCGCAGAAGGTACTGCGCAACAAGAAACTACCGCGCCAGTTACCAGGAAGAGAAGAATTGGGCGACCCAGATTACGAGCACTTAGGTTTTTTGTTTTCCTTTTACTTACAATTTTTGAATATTTAAGCGTGAGATATTTGTAAACCTGTTTCCTTCATTTTCAGTGATTCAATACCTCGGGATGAGGAACCTCCCGGTCCCAAGCGTTCAGCTAGAAGGTTGTGTAAAGAGTCTGTAAAGACTGTACTGGAAAGCGCCATGGCACGTAAGGAGAAGTCCAATTATACGGAGGAATACAAGAAAAAGAAGTACAACAAACCGGGTCGACCCAAGAAGATTGTTCCAGGCAAAGATCCGATCAAGCAGACACAAGTAAAGCCGTCCGATGTCCGTCAGGAGATGGAGACGTCGTTGACGTCTGATAATAGCACGACTGAGATGTTAGAGTCTTCGCGCGACACTTCTCTACCCGAGAACAGCACGAACGACAATGTTACGGAAGATTCGCAGTCGTTCTCATCCGACTTCGATGGAATGCCGAAGCTATCGCCGATGACGAGGAGCTCGGAATCACATACCAAACTGGGCAATTCCATCGGCAGTCCTGGCAGCGACGACACACCTTTGGC